AAAACACCTTCAATTTACCTGGTCTACCAACACTTCACAGTAACTATGATCCAACATAGTTACTTACTATCAATTTATAATTTTACACAAATCACCGTATAATTTATGTTAAAGGTTTAGTTTCATATCACTGCAGTACTTTGAAATGCACTCCAGTGGCTCTATAGAGCCAGATGCTGAATTATATCTCTCTAAATACTTCAGACACAAACCCAAGGTTATTTTTAATTTATTATTAAACTACAGACAGTTTTTATTTAACACATCTACCTAGTAGTGTTAAGATTTTTATCATCTATTTAAATACTGTATCTTTATTTTTAAAATTCCTGTTGTTTCTGCTGTTCTTGTTATGAAAAATGCCATCAAAAGTTTAATCCACGTAACCAGCACAGCATTTGAAATATGCTGGCTGGACTGAAATGCACTTGTCTGAACCTGCTCTGCTGGAGTAATTTGGAACTCCTGTGGCCACACCTGTCCTATGTCAGACTGCTGTCGTGTTTTACACCAGCTGAGGATATAGATCTCTCGAGTTTGGGGGGTGGGGTTTTTTGTTTGGTTTGGGGTTTTTTTGTTCTGTGGGTTTTGGGGTTTTTTGGTTTGTTTGTTTGTTTTGGTTTGGGGTTTTTGTTTGTTTGGTTTGTTTTTTTGGTTATTGTTGTTGCGGTGGGGATTTTTAGTGTTTTGGGTGGGAGTTTTTATAAAGAAGATTGAGAAGAGATGTTCTAATCATTGCAATGCAGTGGTTTTGTCCTCAGTCATAATATTTAACTGAGGAACAGAATGACATCTATGATTAAAATATATCTTTGTATAAAAATAACATGCTCAAGAATTTACTTACATTAAATTATATTGGTGGGAATTTTTTATTCCTTTTATTTTTCCCTTTCTTCAAGAAACTTAACGGAGATCTGAATTTTTGACTCTAACAAATTTCTTAGAATTGTCCATATTTTTAAAGCTTCATAATATATATCCAAATGGTAAGGTAGATCAGTTTATCACCTGGATAAACAAGCTTAAAGAAACAAATACACACCTACCACTAAATAAAAAGGTAATTTTGGGTTTTGGGGTTTTTTTTATACATTTGAGTCTGACCATTCCATTAAGCATATATTATCATGTGCAAACAGAAAGCCAGAATGAGAAAAATAAAACTTTTGTTAATGGATGAACAGCAAGGTTAACTCTGTTTCATGTAAGAGCCATGGCCTTGCTACCAATGCACTATAAATGTTTATCTCCCCTTGAAAATATTTTGCACCGACAAGAAAAATAAAACAACATTGAATACAGAGCAAGATCTCTAGCCATGGTCTGAAACAAAACAAAGCTGCACTACAGAATGACAATATTATGAAGACTTAGGTGCTGACAGTAATGACTGTTGTATGAAGCTTTCAGTTAGAAGCAGGAAATGAACATGAAAATATTTTGTTGTAAAAAATAAGATACAGTGCTATTAAACATTGGTTTAAGTAATGTAGAGAAATAAAAGAGCAAAACATAACTGCAGTTCTACAGGCTTTTCCTTTACACTATTACCACCTTCTTTAATTCCAGCTTTGCAGTTCCAGTTATTGTTAACAGACACTTGCCTATTAAACAGTTCTCTGACAAATAAGGAAAAGCATCAAATCAGATGATGGTACTGGAGGCCTTCTGGTAGAAACAGGATTTAGACCTAATTGGTATGATGACGTGTTTCAATCACGCTGATTTATCTTCTGTAAAGCCCGCCTATGTTACTTCATCTTGACTTCAGTTACAGATACAAATGGTCTCAATGCATCATAAAGAGGGGAAAAAAAAGAAAATGTCCTCACAATTTCAGTCCTACTGTTAACTGAATTTGAGCAAAGCTAAGCACCAGAGACAGAAATTTTAATTTCAGAATTCACCCAGTAATCGCCTTTTAGAAAATGCTAACATATTAAAATAGAGGTATACACTCAGTTTACTACCTGACATTTACTAACACAGCTTTTACTTACTAATTTATAGCTAGTATTACTCCTTCTAAACAAAAATTTTGTTCCATGTCTTCACAAATATGATTAAAAAACTTAGTAGTAAGTCACAATGTATGAGCTGCTCAGCCAACACCTAGGATCAAGCTTCTCCCATTTGTTGTTTCAGAGTTTTTCTATTTATTAATTGATTTATTAAAAAGCATTAAGGTTATTAATTATTATCTACAAGTAATATTTAAACCTATTTTATGGTATATGCCTAGTTAAAATCTGGTTTTTAACAGTTATTAAATTTTTCTTCCAAATCAAAGTACAAGTCATTTGGAGATGGAGAACACCAACATGACAAGATCCTATACCACTTACACAAGCACTGCTGGTCAAGACCTTGGACTGCTGCCCTTCCTGAGCTGGTTCTCTGCTGCTTTTACCACACAGCTATGAATACCAGCCAGGCTTTCCTATTTGCATGCTGCTGTGATACAAAAGCAGTAAAAACTATGTTGGCTGTAACAACATTAAGTGAATATCACTGCATGTGAAGGTGAAAGAAAGAGACAAAATTCAGTGAGGGGAAAAGGTATTCCTTTAAATACTAAGGGACAAAATGCTAGTCTAACTCCACAAGTAACTTGGGAACATAAATTACAAACTTCTGTGTGTTAGAAGCACTGCGATTCTTCAGCCTGGGTAACACTGTGACACCACTTTTCATCAAATTTTGACAAGAAAGTTTCTATACTCCAGGGCATTGTGGTATGAGGTCAAAGGTAGAACTTGATGATCATGAAGGTCTTTCCCACCCTTCATGATTTTATGTAGTGATATTTTTCTGCAGCAACAAAGCCTACAGCAGGCAGCAAACTCACTTTTACTAAGAGACAAACATGGAGAAATTATGGCAAACCTCCCACTTGATGGAGGTCACCAACTTCCCTCTGCACTGACCAGCCATGTGCAAACCCAAATGAAAGGCATGAGGACTCATACTTTAAAAATAATTTCTAACACTTAAAAGAGAGATTTCAATTGAATGTGGCATTAACTAGACCAAACAGTTCTGTTAAAATCTTGTCAGTCACTTGTAATTGTTGATTTCTTCCATACTACATATTGGCTGTGCTCTGACAATTTGCCTTGAAAGTTCCCATAAAATTTTAGGCAACTGAAATGAGAACTTAATAAAAACCCCAAACAACTGAGCTGTACAGTACTGTCTATCCCAAACATTCAAAACACATTAACAACTTCAAACCCTATTTGCATTTTATATTACTTGCTATGCGCTGAGTTTTGATCCCTCTGAGTCCATTATGTGCTTTTTCTGCCACCATCATAGCCAGAGAGAGAGCTTTAACCTCTCACAGCCCACACGTTCATTGTAGAGGTCCTCTCCTTCCACACCTAGAGCCTCCTTCCCACCCCAAAAGTATGCACATCTTACCTCAGACCCGTAGGGAATTTAATCTGTTCTCCTGGGCAGGGAATAATTTCCACAGGGTTTCTTCCTTCCTCTTTTTGCATGGCAGCTTCTAGCACATTTTTTTCTTCTGAGGAAACTATCCTACTTAATAGGAGGAGCTAAAACCTATTTGTTATCCACAGGTGCGTTTGAAACTGACCACAACTAAAATCCTTTCTCAGCTAAGGCTGGGAGCAGTTCACTCTTCCCGGGCAGGAGCTGCAGCTGGAGGAGAGGCCTCCTCGGGCCAGCCCGTGCTCCCTGAGGAGGGCAGCTCTAAGGAGGGCAGCCCGTTGTCCCGTGAGGAGGGCAGCCCTGAGGAGGGCAGCCCTGAGGAGGGCAGCCCGTTGTCCCGTGAGGAAGGCAGCCCTGAGGAGGGCAGCCCGATGTCCCGTGAGGAGGGCAGCCCTGAGGAGGGCAGCCCGTTGTCCCGTGAGGAGGACAGCCCGTTGTCCCATGAGGAGGACAGCCCTGATGAGGACAGCCCGTGGTGCCACTCGCCCTCTCGGCAGGACCTGCGAGATGAGGATGCGTGCCGGATGGGAGAGGGAGTGAAATCACACTTGGCAGAAAGCAGTGGCTAGAGAAGGTGGTATTTTAATTTTTGGCTTTCTCACCATCCACATCCCTTTTAACTGGCAGTCAGATACATTTTCCCCAAGTCTGCTTTGCTCACGACAGTAACTGTTAAGTGATGGCTCTGTCTTTATCTTGACCTATGAGCTTTTTCATGTAATTTTCTCCCCATCCTACTATAGAAGAGGAGGGGAAAGTGAGTGACTGGGTTATCATGTGGCTGGAATCCACAGTCAGCTCACCACAGTGTGGTAGATAGATGTAACTATTTTCTTTGCTGCCAGTCTAGTTATTAACCTTGACTTGTTATCTCAGTTCTCTTTGAGGTTTTTCACCTGTGGCATCTTCTGTTAATTTCTCTCCAGTCATAGCAAAGGCCAAAAAGCAGCTTTTACTAACACTCCTTTATATATCTGTGTATAAAAATTTAGCAAATTTCAGCATTATCTAATACAAACTTGCTTATTGAATAAGGGCAAAGGCTGTACTACACTTCACTGAAATTGTTGCAAAAACCACATTGAAATTTGTCACAATGTTAATGCAGCTTTCCTCAACCTTAGCGTGCATGGTGGAGCTGTACAGCAAGTATGATTGCTCTCCACGAGAGCTCAGAGTAAAACTGCTGCAAAGCTTTCCCCTAGAGGCAGAAATGAGGAAGATGGAATAGACAAACCCTCCTGCCTTCTAAACCTTTCCTCAATTCGCCCATCAGGAAACACTGAGGGGGGAAAGCAGCCATTCATATTTGGCTTTAGCATTTTCCATTTTCCTTTCATTTTATGGTATATTTAATGAAGTTACAAGAAATATCTCCTTCTAAAGCTATGCACATATTCTAAAGCTATCTCCATATTTTGAGAATTTGAAATTTCTTCATGTATTTAACATTACAGTAGTAAACACCCAAGACATTTTTGAAACATTTTCCTTTATTTGTGTATTGCAAACACATCTACACATCACATGCTTTACTAATTTCTGTTCTGTGAAAGTAAGGCTGTTATTCGTAGGTCTCGGTATATTAATCATACCCTCACCCCAAGGAGCCAGTTCTTAAAAAAAACGACAAACAACCTTCTGAAGAAAAATCCAACAAAAATTATCAGCATACTGACTGTGTAACTATTCAGTCAACAGCAGCCTCTTGTTTCTGTGATTGTTGCATTCAACTACTAGCTCTTCCATATGTTTTCTTTCAGGTGTTACCTTATTCATCTAACTGCTCCTTAAATTAGCTTCTGTAAAAATTAGACTCAAGGGAAACCTACTAGAAACATTAAGAACATTTTGATATGAGTAGGTTAAGAAATACCTAGTTGTGACAGGCAGTGAACAGCTGATAGCCTGTGAGAAGACAAGCACTGAAAGGTGGTAAACTCTTCAACCACCTCAGCTACACCCAAACCTGTTTCATGCCTATGTTTGAAGGCACAACGTACCTCACTTACAGCCAGCTTTGCCTTAAGAGCCCTAATCAATGACATTGACTTCACAAAATTAAATAAAAACTCGACAGTCTGGCGGCAGCGTTTGTGAGCTTGCTCAACTGTGAGCCCACCTTTTACTGCATCGTCAGCGAGCACCAAGATACACCTGGAACATCAATACCATCAGCGCACTGGACAGCCACCGCCAGCCCGCTACCTCGGCCTTCCGGCTCCTGAGGAGCCTCCCGAGCGAGAGGCACAAAGGCGGTGAACGTACCTTCCCCTGGCTGCCCCAGAGGCCAGGCTGCTCCCGGCACGGTCCCGGCCCGGCGAGCGGCGCAGGGCCCGGCGGGCTCGGCAGGCCCAGGTAGCCCGGTAGCCCCTCCCCGCCGCCGGCCCCGCCCCGCGGGGGATGGAGGGGCCGCGGCCGGGCTGGCGCTGGAAGAGGAAGCGGGGACGCGCTACCGGGCGGCGGCGGTGGGGTCACGAACTCTGACCTGTCACAGGGCACGGCACACACAACAAAACACCCCCGACCCCAACACAGCCCCGGCCCCCTCCCCTCCGCGGGACCCACAGCCCCTTGCAGCCCCCGCGGGGGGAGGGAGGGCCGCTGCTGGGCACCGGCCTGCCCGGGCCCGGTCGGGTCACCGCCACTGCACCTTTGGCGCCCATTCCTGAGGTAAAAAACATTTTTTAAAATTGAAGTGGCCTGGTGGGTTTGTCTCGTGGGGGCCAGGACGAGGGAGGGGGCGCGGGGAGGCGGTAGCGGGCCCTACTCTGGACACCCCCGCGAGGGGAGGGGTGGGGTGACGGTGGGTTTAGGGGAGGGGGATTGCACGGCTCCGGTATTTGTCTGGTAAGCGAGCACCGGCCGTGGTCTGGCCTGGTCTACAGCTCCTGCAGAGGAAAAGACCATTGTGGCGTGCTGGGTCGATCTGCGGGGCAGTCCCGTGCCGGAGCCGCTGGTTGCAGCGTGGGCCGGCTGAGGTCGGAGCTGGTCCGGTCGCGGTGAGCAAAGTCGGCTGTCCAAGGGGTGTAGGGCGATGTTCGCGGCGATGACGAGCGCGGGACACGCAGAGAGACAGAAGATGGAGTCTGAGCGGGCGGAGGCGGCGGCTTGAACCCGACCCTTTTACCTTTGCCACCGGGAGGGCGGAGGGGAGGGGGCGGCGGGTACTTTGCATACGGGGCTGAAACCGCCGCCATCTTACCGGCCGCTTCCTCACTGCCATGTCTGGGCCTCCTCTAGGCGGACACAAGGCTGGACCGGAGGGGAGGGGAAGGGGCCTAATGGCGGCGGCAGCAGCCCCGCCTGGGCTCTGGCGAGCGGCCAGCGCCGCCATCTTGTGCTCAGTGAATCCCCGGGGGGCTCTCCCTCTGCTGGAGGGGCGGTACCGCCACCATTACAAGCGGGTGCCTCGGCCAATGGGCGATCTGCGGGGGTGCGCTTCGCCTGTCGTGAGGTCATTGGGCGGGCCGGAGGCGTGGCTCGGCGGCGCGCGGCGGGGAGCTGTCGAAGGCCCTTCAGCAGCGGACGGAGCGTGGCGCAGCCAATGAGGGCGGGCGGCGCGCGCGGCGCGGCCAATGGGGGCGCGGCAGGCCCGGCGCGGCCTGGGCCGTGTCGGGGCGCCGTGTCTCCTGCCCGGTCGGCGGTGTCCGGGTGTGGGCGGGCTCCTGCCGCCGGGACAACGACCGGGGACTGCCGGCGGGGCCGGACCCGCTCCGCGCCCGTCCCGCCGATGGCAGCCTGCTGGAGGCCGCTCGGTGTAGCCGAGTCGAGCTCACAGCGTAAAGAACCTCGTTTCATTAAGACAAAGGAACAAATTTCATTACGTTTGAATTCGGCCTTTTGCCATGTCTTGTCAGTAGCGCCATACCTTTAGAACCTCTCAAGTGGAATTTATGACTTGTCTCTGAGGTTTCAGTGCAGCTTAGGGAAAGATTAGTGATTCTACACTGTGTTTTGGACAGCGTATAATGAGCTGGCTGCCACCCTGTTATGCTGAAAATAATTTCCTGGTGTTCCAGGTGGCTCTTCCTGGCTTTTAAATTTCACTTCTTGTGTTGGTTTGGGGGGTTTTGTTGTGTTGCCTTACAAACTGTTGCTGAGGGCTTTTGCCAGGAAGCTGATTTTGCCTCCTGGGAGTTGACACCATTGAGAAGCTTGGCTTGGCTGTATATGGTCTCTGTGCTTCAGTGGATTTGACCAGATAGCCTCAGCTTAAGGTTCTTTTGTGAAGGTCAAAAGTACAAAAAGCCTTGGTGATAACACCAACAACGGCAAATCTCTCGGACTCATTCTGCAGAAACCACTAGTGTTTTGTCTCTCAGAAAGGTACTGTTATGAGCAAGATCTAATCTGAAGGGCTTCTGTCATCATGAAGCACTGAGAAAACAGCATATTAAGAGCATATGATTATGCTTCTTGTGCTTCTTGCTGAATATAAAAAAAATAAGAGGAAACACTGAAAAGGAACCATTGAACAATTGAGAAACCATCCATAAGCTGAGTTTGGTGGAAATGGTTCATGGTCATAATCAAGTGCAATACTTCAATAAAATAATGACAAGCTGTAGGAGAAACCAGCATAAATACAATTTCCATGGGGATGTCTGAAGTATGATTATGCATAGTTACAAATAATCTTTACTTGATGTACAAAAAATTACTTTCACATATGTCACAATATAAGTGAATCCATTTAATTTAATGAATTTTGACATATTTAACAATGTTAGCTTTGTAGAAGTTACATTTGAATGGGTGATAGAGACATGCATACATTTTTCTGTCACTTGTGTTGCTATGGTTTGCTGTATTTTTAAATTTTATATTAAATTACTTAATTGCAAATGGCTTTGCAATTTTAAGCAGAGGTTTCCAGTGAAACATCGAACAAGCCAGCATTCAGGAATGCTTTTTTATTCCCTACAACAACAAATCAGAATCTGAAGTCTACCCCTGTAATTAGCAAGTCACAATTAAAAATGAATGCATTAATTGGAAATCTTAATTAAATTTACCTTGGAAGAAATACACCCCTAATAATGATAATGAAAAATGCATTGGAAGTGGTTTTTTATAGTTTCTTTGTCTTTGATTTCTTTGTATTTTTTTTAACCCCTAAGGTTGAAGGTGGAGTTACTTGGAATAGGATGAAATGGTTCTGCAGTATTTTCTTCTCATTGTGATAGTAGTATCACATTATAATAAAAAATAGTTTAAATAGTGGAAGGTACGTTTTAGATGTAACTGTTTATTTCCCTTATTGGGTAAGATTACTGTTAAGAATATGGATGAACGTGGTGGTTTGACGGAACAACTCAATGAAAATTTATGCCAAACAGCATTCTTAGCTTGCTGCTCCCTGCTTTAGCAGGTGGTGTAGAAGCAGTTTAATGGCAGGGTTTCTCCTGCCTGAGCTGAGGAAAGTGCCTTTGAGATCTATGAATTCCACAAGCTGCATTAGTACTTGACTTTAAAAGTAGTCCTTTCTCATTTATGAAATTAACATCTCTTCTTTACAGCTTAAATAACGGACTGGAAAGAGTATATTAGAGGCTTAATAAAGTAAAAGAATAACTGTACCTCAGCAGTTTGATCAGCATGGTTCCAGTATGCTTGTCCCATATATGTATATATGTGTATGTATGTGTGCACACACACACGTCAATGGCACCTTCTCTTATTTGCCAGATATTTCAAGCAGAATTGTAAATTTTCAAAAGTTTGTAGCAGAGCTTTCTTTAATATTAAGAAAAAACCCAAACTTTTGTGCCTGATGGAAGTTGCTGGCATCTTTCCGAACAGGTTCTCTAATGGTCTTGTCTCACCATGGCAACCAGTATGGAGGTGCTGGCTCAGCAGGTAGTGGAGACTCAGCAGGTGGCTGAGGTGAGTGACAGATGATATCACAACAGTTGGTATATGAGATTTTGAAGTTAAAAACTTATTAGGGAGTCCCTGCTGTTTACAATTAAGCATAAATGGAACAGAAGATCTTTAAAGAAAAGTGCTGCTTTACACGTGGGGACAAGCAGCAGGAAACCAGTGCAACTGGGACATGTTTTGTTCACCCTGCTTCGTTCTGGTGGTCCCCATATTAAGAATGCAAGTAGAAAGTTCAACATGAGTTATAGAGAAACTTGGCTGTATTATGAATTGTTTAAAAACTTAATACAACAGAATATCTTGTCATTTGATCATTAGATTGACCATTTGGGACATGGAAAGCTTCTGCACCTAATTGGAATTGTAATCGAGATCCACCACTGTGTTGGAAGTTACCTGTTTTACTTATGCGCTGTACTGAATTTACAGCAAGGTGGTTAACTTAAATCAGTTTTTATATTTTGTGCCTATGCTTAAAAGAAAAAAAGCGCAAAACCTACTTAAAATTCTTTTAAGTGATGTCTTGACGCATATTCACTGAAGCTTGGATGCTCAACGGCTAAAAAGTTTAAATCAACTCATAAACACAAACTGCAAGTGTTTATGGCCATAGAAAATAATTTATCTCCTTCACTATGCAAACTTCAGTCAGAAAATAAACTGGATCTTTTGTCTGATTAAAATTATTTGGTTTAGTATCCTCGAAGTTTACTGTGATTTTTCATATGGTTACGTAATTAAGGGATTTAATAAATAATAAAGGGCAAATGGGCTGAGAGACCTCTGTAGATAAGGGCGCTTTTCAGACATTAGTGTGGAGTTTTCTTTCACCTATTGAGCTAAGATTACACCTGGATATTAAAAATATTTTTAGTTCAAGAAGAAGTCCTGTATAAGAAGAAAATATAAGTTTAGTTCTGTTTTTAGAAGTGGACTGGAGATTCTCTACTTAGAAGTACATTTTTAAAAAAGAAATTTCATTCTTTTTAGCATGGAAAATGGCCTAGTGAGTGTCCTGGAATTGACATCTATGGAATAGTTTCAAAAAACTTCGTAAGTTTCACAGTGAAAACCAACAAGAGATTTTTCACTCTAGTTTTCTGTACCAGGTATGAATTTGGCAAGCTGCATTTTTAAAAAACAATTACAAATATATTTGGAAAGAGAAACCTGTAATGGAAATACTGACAAACTTTGTAGTATTTTGGTAGAGGTTGGGTGCTGTAATAACTTCTAAAGCACATAAAATATGTGACATTTGTAATTCCTCGTGCAGGAAATGCACCGTGGTAACATAGTGTGATGGTTGTATCTTGCCACTGGAGAGATCGCTCCATCTCAAGAGTGTATGAAGCTCTGTGATTTCTTCCTGGCCGGTGGGTAAATGGAGGGCTTCATCTCTTTATAGTATTCAGCTGCTGCTTAAATGATATGCCTGTCCACTGCGTAACACCATGAAAACTTTGTTCATGGAAAACCAGTTGTAAGCAGCATTATCTCGTTAGGAATTCAGTAATACTATGACCATGTTAATACTGAATCATTTCTTTGTGAATGGCTGGCTACCTGCTATTTGTGTCTTCTGTCAGATAGTTTTTAATACAGGTAAATACATAATGAATTTTCTTTAAATATGCTAAAATTCTATATTTGTACTCACCATGTCTTAGAGAAAACGTAGAATCAAACTTGGTACTGGCTTTAAAAAAATGACAGACTTTTTGAAAGTCATATTTTTTATCTATGAAAATTAAATGGAAGAAGAGAGTCATTGACAATGCACTGAATTTCAGGTTATGAACTGTGAGAGAGAAGTTGCAACTGGATAACCTAATGCATCACTTTTGCAACATAACTGCCACATATGTAGTGCATGGGTTTATTGAGAACTGCGGTGCCAAGCACCAAATCAGACTGCCCTGCAAGTAGGCTACATTGTTTCTCTTTCTTGAGCAATAGTTCTTCAGTTTTTTCATGAAACAGAATGTTTCACAGAAGTTGCTGAGTGTGCTCCAGTGTTGCATGTATTTTTGTACTTATTCTATTTTTAGGACTTTTAAAAATTGTTCTTTTAATGGTTTCAGATGGTTTCACTGCTTTTGCTTGCTTCTGCTTTATATAGTATCGCTTGTTTAATTTTTTTCCAATTGTGCATTTCTGAACAGATTGGAGGAGAATTCTGTTTTGAGTGTTTGAAGTTGCCATTACTTACAGTTCATGAAACTAAAGAACAGAGAGCAGCTAGGGGATTCGGAGGGAATTTCAGCAGTTTCTCCTTATCCTCAGTAGCTTTTGAAAAGCAGCAAAAATACGTAAGCCTTAATGAAAAAATAAATAATGCTGCTTTTCTGAAGTATATATTTAGTGCTGTCACTGTGCAATATGGAAGTGGCCTAGGTGCAGTCCCAGCATCAGCTTAGATCTGACTTGAATACTGTTTAAGAAAAACGTGTTTGTTTTTAAAGTGGAGGTGCATTCCCTGTGTAGTACCTGTGATTTTACTGCAAAATTTAAAAAAAAATTTAAACAGAGCTGTCGTGGGTGGGAGGGGGGAGGAAGGGGAGGGAATGTTTGGTGGTGGAAATAAGGGCTATTTCATCTTTCCAATAGCAGCTCTGGTGTAACCAGGAATAATATTTAGTTGTTGCTAAAACTGTCCTTGGCCAGCTCTCTGGCAGCCAGAAACTATTCCCGGTGCATCCTTTTTCCTGTCAGAGGCTACAGGGAGCGAGTCACATGAGGTGACTGTTGAGCCCTGTTCTTCCTGGATCTTGTTTATGACAGCTGCATTGCTGGAGAATTTTCAGTTGCTTTCAGTTCCCTCAGTGTCCTGATAGGAAACTGTCAAAGTCTAGAGCCTTTTGGAAAGTATGTTTTCCCAAGGAGCTCAAAAAATATTGGATAACTTTGTCACATAAAATGTTTTCTTGACCCTCTTCAGACATCTCTGACATGTTGCATCCTAAGTAGTTCTGCAGTTTGGGTTTTGGTCCAGATGAAGACAGTGTGCTGGAAAAGGAGAATGGAAACACTGTTGTTCTGATGGAACAAGTTTTTACTTTGTTTAGAATTAATGAAGTGTGACATAAGACCCTTTATATTTAATATATTTTATTGCTATCACTGGCCACTTGCTCATTTCTGATGATTTTTCAAAGTGGAGTTTTGATGCAAAGTCTTCTTAAACAATTTTTGCTTCCAATACAGCTTTTCTCAAGTTCCTGTTAATGGTAAAAGACCTAGACATACCGTGAGCCTGAGCGGTATCCCACAGAAAGTGCGGATGGGAGTAAGGAGACCGTATCTGGTTTAGGCAGTTTGGCAGTGTTTGAACTGAGGAGTGTTGGCAGACGTGGCATAGCTGCTGGTGTGATACAAGTGTGGGGTGTTCCATAAGAGCTGCTCTGAGATTTTCTTTATCGTGCAGACGTGCCAATTGCAGTTTCTTCCGTGATTGTTGCCTTTTTATGTGCTGTGCAAGATCTTGCACTGGCAAGGGCAGTTAAACTAGAGTTCTTCTAGTGGTGGATTCGACCTGTCTCAGCCATCCTACAAAGGACCACTTGGCAGAGGTCAGGAAAACTAATTCCAAGGAGAATAACTGAAACTTTTTTTAGATATGTCTTACACCTGTGAAAGAAACATATTTGGATATACATTTTTAGTAAGAGCCTATTATTAATTTAATAGGTAACGATACTCATTAGGAAAAATATCTGTGGAAAAATAGGTCTTTCTGATTTGATTTGAGTTGCAGGTATAAAACTTGGTACCATATTTTTCATTTAAATTCTTCAGTTGTTTTATGGGTGCCGTTAAAAATATTTGGTCTATGATTGCTTAATTATGCTTTAATTAATATAAGAAAGAGAATAGAAATTATTGTCTCTGAAATTGGTTTGCACATAATGTATTCATGCAATACAATTACTGTGGCTTTTACTGGAGAAAATATAGAAAATGTTTTTCTGCTTAAGTTAGAAAAGATTAGAGGCTTTAAAAATTTCTCTCAATTGGCCAATGGATTATTCCTTCAATTTATTTCTCAAATACTGCTTTTATAATCAGTGTGGTAGGGGGAAATAAGCTACAGAAAGTATTGAAAATTTGGTTAGTCAGGACAAGTATGTATTATATATGTACATATGCTCATACAAACATACATAGATGCCTATGTACATGATGGGCAAATCAGTAAATTACTGTATAAACACGACTGTATGCCTGTGAAGAAACCTTATTTATTTCTAATGACATAAAATAATGAAATGCTTGGAGAAACATAGCTTCAAACTACTGATTTTATATATACGTATATATTTTATATATACACACCCATCTACTGGAAGTTTAACATGATTTCAACTAAAATTTAGAAACTGAAAAAAGTAGAAAAAAATAAGGTAAATATACAATTATATATATTTATATTTAAAAAGGGGAAAATTATTAATAATTTAAACAGAAGAAAACAAATTTAATTTTGCCAGCCTTCAAAATGCACCTAATTGCCAAATACATGTTTTTAGCTTAATGATGAAAAAGGTAGATGCATATGTGTTTAAGCGTATTTTTGTATTTCTTGAGCTTTGTGCAGATTTTCTTTGTCACTTAAGGCAAATCATTATTAATTTCTATAAACTTCAGCATATGAAATTATTGCTAGTGGTACTTACTGATTTGAGAGCCCAAGCAAGTATATTCTAGATACCAGTAATACTTTCTAATGCACTAGAGCACAGTCAGTTGACCTAACATTTACAGTGTACCCCTACTGTAAATACACTCCCTTAGGTAATTACATATATATACACACTATTTTTAGAGAGATGTACAATAGATGATTGTGTTTTCTGTCAAGTAAAGTGCTTAATTTCAATAGTGAGCATATTTCTGTGCTATGGAGTCGTTGAAATGGGAAGAAAATACTAATGCTACTTAGACAATTAAGTTATTAATTTGCTGCAGAAGCTTTTGTAGTGGAAGTTCACTGGATTTTGTTGTTTATTGTTGTTAATGAGTTTATTGTTGTAAAATCTGTCAAGTACATGATCACCTTCTCAAAGCTTCATGTACCATGACTTTAACAAATTTAACTTTGGAAAATCTTAAAAATATTTTCTGTTTTCATCCATTTCTCAGCTTTCACTGCAGCCTCATTAAAATGTTTTGTTGTGGAATGAGTTTTTAAAGCTAAAGATGCTCTACAGGAAATCTGATGGATTTTCCTTTCAATTTTGCTAATTTTAAATTAATTTTCCTGAGTGAGATCACATGGCACACAGGACCAGGGGACCAGGCCCAGCTAGTGTGGGTTTAGGAAAGGCAGGTCCTGCCTGACCAACCTGGTCTTGTTTTACCATGAGGTGACCCACCTCATGGATGAAGTAAAGGCTGTGGATGTGCCTAGGTGTATTTCAGCAAAGCCGTTGATACGCTCTCCCAGCACTGTCCCAGAAGGGCTGTGGCGCATGACTTGGACACGTTTGTGGGGTTAAGAACTGGCTGGGTCACTGGGACTGGGAAGTGGTGCCACATCCACTATTCAGTCACTAGTGGGGTTCCTCAGGGTTGTTTTGGGTCCAGTTCTCTTTAATATCTTTATGGATGACCTGGATGAGGGGATTGAGGCCAAGGCCAACAATGTGAAGTTCAACAAGGTCACCACAACCTACACAGCACTCCAGGCTTTGGGCAGGATGGTTGGAAAGCCACTCAACAGGAAAGGACCTGCAGGTGCTGGTCGACAGTGACTGAATGTGAGTTGGGTGTGCCCAGGTCACACAAGAAGGCCAATGGTATCCTGGCATCCTGGATCAAGAACAGCATGGCCAGCAGGACCAGTGTAGTGACTGCTGCTCAGTACTGGCCACTGGTGATGCCACACCTCAGATCCTGGGGTCACTTCTGGGCTCTGCAGGGCAAGAAAGACATTGAGGGGCTGAAGTGTCTCCAGAAAAGAGCAAAGGAGCTGGAAAAGGGTCTGATGAGTCAGTCATTGAGGAGTGGCTGAGAGAGCTGAGTTTGTTAGGCCTGGAGAAAAGAAGGCTCAGGAGGGACCTTTTCAATCTCTACAACTCCCTGACAGGAGGGTGGAGTCAGGTGGGGGACAAAATTGTGCCACATGGGGTTCAGGTTAAATATACTTTGCAAACCCAGAAAACAACATCGGTGTTCAGTTCCAAAATGTTTAAAGAATTTCCATGCAGGTACCTTATGTCTACGTTCTTTCTCTTTGAACAAAATAGAAGAATTGTTCTATTCTTTTTTTTCCAAGATGTCTGCAGTACATTGTTTGAAGGTTTGAAGATGCATCAATGAAAGGCTAAGGATTCTACAACTGAACAACTGTAAAACAGTTTTAAAAGACCTTCTTGCTCTAATTTAGATCTTTTAAAGGGCACATAGCTTTGTTAATAATTTGGCATGGAAGGCAAGAAGATCATCCATTAAATGTGTCTTCTAAGAGTCTAGATTTTTGGGAGTTTTTTTTCTCACCTAGGTGTCTTGTTTTCTGCAGCTGAAACCTTTGAATCATCCAATAATTAGAAGATGCCTCTTATTTCTACATCTCTCCTGTCTGTTTTCCTCATTTAGTGTGCAACTTTTGTGACCTGTGTATTAAAGATAATTGGAGATTGTATGTTTAATTTAGATTACACTTTCACAGTATGTGGAACTATTTATTGTTCAGGCAATAGGGGAGTAAATGGTATGTTTTCATTAAGTCTTGTGTATTTTAATACCTCTGCTTCCCCAAAGAGAGTGTAGTCCGTGTTCCTTGCTATCCGAACTGTTTTTTCTTGATGTCATAAATTAACTTTTCTGTATATTAAACAAAGATTTTTCAAAGCAAGCTAAAATTGAAACTGCCCTGTTGTCCAGCTGTAAAAATTTTGATATAATTCCAAGATTGTTTAGCAGAGGATTTGATAAAAACAACTTGTGACCATCCTGATTTTGGATACGTTACTGCAGATAATAGGTTCATAGAATGGTTTGGGTTGGATGAGACCTTCAGGATTGTCTAGTCCAACTCCGTGCCACAGGGGAGTTGGACTTCCTCTATCCCAGGGTGCTCCAAGCCCTGTCCCGTCCAGTCTTGGACACTTGCAGGGATCAGGGGCAGCCACAGCTTCTCTGGGCACCCTGTACCAGGGCCTCACCATCCTCCCAGGGAAGAAATTCTTCCCAAGATCCAATCTAAATGTTATCACCTGTGTTTAATTCCGTATTTAACATTTTTGCTCTGAAAACAGCTTTGCAAGGGGTGTTTTTCAGGCTAAGTATTCAGAACTAAATTTGCATTATAGTTTGGTAGTCTGGAAAGTTATGGAATAGGACAAGAAACAATAGTATTCAGAAGCAGTGTTAAAGTTAATCTCTGTCATTCAAAAGTACTTTGAAATTATAAAAGGGGAACTACTTCACATTTTACTTACAGAAGAAAAAAATGAGGTAAGTGTATAATCGAAAGTGGAAAAAAGTATTTCTGCATTTCAGGAAGCTAAAGGATCATACTGTACCTATCCAGTGATTCATTTGAGCAGAGTGGTGGTGGTAGTTGTGGTTTGGTTTTGTCAGGTTCACTCAATTTCCAGAAAAAAAAAAAATTCTGATAATTCATTGAAAGCCAATCCAAGTTGGTTAAATGACTGTAACCTTTCCAGTAAATTTAGATTCTAAACTATAGGGCTACCTGATCTTTTATAAATACAGGTATTTTTAAATTGTTCAACACTGAATTAAAATTCTGTATGTTATTTACAGGTGCCGACTGTTCAGACTTCGCTATCTGAATCTCCAGTGATGACCAGCCCTTCCCAGCGTATCCAGATAATTTCCACAGACTCCTCTGTAGCTTCACCACAACGCATTCAGGTAAAAATCCATTAATTAACCAACTATTATGTATTTTCTTTTTTTCTTCTCCTCCTGCTGAGCTTTATACAAAAGCATGCTAAAGACTATGGAATACTTCCTTCAAGTCTTGTGAGATCAGATAATTTTTTAGTGAAAACTAAAATTCTTTTTCCCTCAGTATTGGTGCTGACTAGATGTCTGTATATAATAGTTAGCCAGTGAAGAGTATTAACACAGATTAAACCTTGCCTACACAAGCAGATCTCCTGAGCCCTGGCCATAACAAAGGGTGAGATATTGTCAACAGAAATCTGAGATCGTCTCCAAGTGCATTCCTCTTCCCACTTATTTAGGAGCCAGTAGGAGATTAATATATTTAGCACAAAGTTGGCCTTCGAGAATGCTGCACAGTGGGACTTCGTTACTGGTAAATGATAAAAATGTCATGAATGTATCAGAATGTATTCAATGGCAAATTATATAGGACTTACTAAATTTTAATGAAATACTAGTGCATGTTGATACGGTTATTCTACCAGGCAAAATAGAGATCATGCTACCAGACAACTGCATCAGAAATAGAAACCTTCCATCATAACAGAATCTTGAGAATCAGTGTGTGAAACAATAAGGCTGCCTGATTCCATCTTTTGTTGATAACTTTAGGGAGTGACATCTTACGCAAAATACGTAGGTAGAAAATGCATTGGTAAATGTTAACTGGGGAACATCTCCTTAGTGCCATTTATAAAGAAAAATTTGAGAGAGCTTCTTCGTCATTTTTCACTGATATAATTCTGAGATGGAATGAAAGATTTTAAAACATAATATTTACTGTGGTGACAAATTTCTTCAATGTTTTACAGATTGTGACAGATCAGCAAACAGGTCAGAAAATTCAAATAGTGACAGCAGTGGATTCAGCTGTGTCTCCAAAGCAACAGTTCATTTTAGCTAGTCCAGATGGAACTGGTGCAGGAAAGGTGATCTTGGCAACACCTGAGACATCTAATGCCAAGCAGCTTATCTTTACCACCACAGACAACATTGTGCCAGGCAGAATTCAGGTAAGTACAGTAATTTAGGTAAATCATGGAATTTTGGTTTTGTTTTTTTTTTGGTTTTTTTTTTTGTTTTTTTTTGTTTTTTTGTTTTTTTTTGTTTTTTTTGTTTTTTTTTTGTTTTTGTTTTTGTTTTTTTTTTGTTGTTTCTAAATTAAGTCTGAATTGCTTTAAGACCAATTGCAGTAGTTTTTTCATGACATGGATCAGACATAATAATTTTAAGCTTCATTGTTCAATCATAAATCCTTCAGTCTTCACCTACCTCATGTATTCCATTGCACTCATCGTCCCTCGTTGTGTGTTCTCATTCAGGTTACAAAGACATAAGGAAATCCTTAAGACAGTGCTTGTGAGAAGTGCCAGGATTTCTCAGTGTAAGATTCACTGATACAGAGATACAACTCACCTGAGCAAATTTATATGAGTTCGTACTTTACATTCAGTATTGCAGACACTTTACATTAGTACCTTACATTCAGACATTGCAATAAAGCTCTGTTATGTTTTTTGTGGGTCTTGAGCATAATCTGCATGAATTGAAGCTTTACAAAGCCAATGATGTAACTAATAATCTACCTCTCATGAAATTTCAGATTTCTTCCTAGCGGTCTTAAAAAAAAAGAATAAAACAAATGAGAAAGTGCCTGGTCTCTCTTGTTACTGTTACAATGGAGAATATTTTGCAGGAAGAGGAGTAACTTTTACATAAATATTTTTTAAATGTTATTAAAAGTATTCTAAAATTCATTTTTCCATGCTAAATAGTATAACTGACATTACAGAGGGATTGGGTTTTTAAATTTTTATTGGTTAAATGAGACTTCAGAACAGAAGTTTTGGAATCCAAGGCCTTTGGAAGCTAAAGTGTTTTCTATGGTAGATCTGAGCTCCAGGCTATCCCCTCTGAACCACACATCACTCATAGCTAGAGAAGAGATAGATGGGAACAGCATCTGAAGGCCAACTGTCTTTGGCTAAAATATAGCAGCTGCTTGAGGGTATTTGCAAGAAGGGAAAAATACTCTTGATTGCACAAGTGAGGAAACATTTGTAATAAACAAAGCTAGCAGTTTTATTTGCAATTTGTTTTGATATGACTGTTTCAAAAGTCTCTCTATTATCAGTAAGAACTCTCATAAAATTGCATTTTATACTACTTAATTTCATTCCACATGCCATACTTATTGATAAATTCAGTCCCCTCTTAGCTGATACACCAATCTTGTTCTATAGTTAAGATTCCTTATCTTTATATCTGGCTAATTACATCTTTTTGTTCTGGAATTTTGCTTTAGATAGTGACAGACTCTGCTTCAGTGGAACGCCTGCTAGGAAAAACTGATGTTCAGCGGCCCCAGGTAGTAGAATATTGTGTAGTCTGTGGTGATAAAGCATCAGGTAAGGAACCTACAAAGTGGTATTGAAGAAACTTGCTTGAAAGGATGACTGGGATGAAGATATGATTTTTCATGTGCTTTAACTGATTTTAGTTATAATCATGGAATAGCAATTGAGTTTTTAAATGGAAAAATGTACTCTGTATCTATACACAAAAAATAGCTAAACTCTGCTTGGAAGAATATTAGGTTTTCTCCTTGAACTAAAGCATATGATAAATTGGCTTTAAGACAAAATAATGATTAAATTGCTCCTCGTAATTGAGAATGACTGCTTGAAGCACGTAGTCCAGTTCCCCACACTGACGTGCAACCATGAAATAAACATGTCACCTAAAATTGTCTACTCCAAGAAAATGCTTCTTAGTGCTCTCTAACAATCTTAATCCTGGTAGATTTTGTTCTTCTACTATCACAAAGCCAGGCAAGCAGACATTACATGAATCCTCAGTGCTTCAGATCCATGCAGTAACAAGGAATCTTAAGATAAAATTTTTATATTAGTCAAGGGGGTGTTCTGTGCTTTCATCCCAGAGAGGACACCCTTCTGTCTCTTTTTCTCACTTTCTTTTACTTTTTTAAGTGTTTATGAAATTAAAACAATACCAGAATTAATATGGACAGGAAACTTAAATTAAGATTGCATTTTAAATTTTGGTGTAAAATTACTTGTTTTCTGAAATTATTAGAGCTCTTAGCTGATAGATTCTCTAAATGTATCCTATAGTCTGTAACCGCAGATAGAATTGTATCTGTACTTACTCAGAGTGGGAACCACACATTCATCAACTGCACATCCAGAAATATCCTGAGCCTTCCTCTCTTCTCTCCACTCTCTCATCAAAACCCCTGACAATAGGTAAATCAAAAATATCTTGTGAGACTGTAGTAATGCTTTCATGGTCCAAAATGCTGGCACAAATTCAAAAGAAATTTAACGGGTGACTTACAGTGTTTTACTTGGTTAAAATGTATATTTCTATGCTAAAATATAAGTAATTCCCACCTGATAATATATATGTTTCCTAGGTCGTCATTATGGTGCTGTCAGTTGTGAGGGATGCAAAGGTTTCTTTAAAAGGAGTGTAAGGAAGAATTTGACCTACAGTTGTCGTAGCAACCAGGACTGTATCATCAATAAACACCATCGGAATCGATGCCAGTTTTGTAGGCTTAAGAAATGTCTAGAGATGGGCATGAAAATGGAATGTGAGTGTTAAGTACTCATTGTGATATTGTGCCTACCAAATAACAATTATGTGGACTACCACTCGTTAGTGCGTTCTCTCTGTTTTGGTATATGTTGCTTGAAGGAAATAGAACGTTTTGGCAGCATCTAGCGCACCTTTCTTTCATCACCATTTTATATCTGAGGTGCAGTAGTGGTTTGTTTTGAACTATGTCTCCAAGTGCTGTTGTCTTTGAGGAGCCCAGTTACAGCATCACTTACAATGCATGTTCCAAACACAGTGTATGTTTATAACAGAAAATTTTTTTACATGGATTGACACAAGTCTGAGTCTAATACTCTGTTTTGAGAATCTGCTTTCCTTCCAGTTTATTTTTGCGACTTTTTCAGCCAGTGATAGAAAATAGTTAGTCTTTTTTTTCCCCCTCTTTTTAAATTTTTATGTTAACTTGATAATTTGTGAGCAGTGTTTTATGAGGCATTGTATAAACTGTCATATGTTTTAAAATATGCTTTCATGTTTGTATGTAGTACCTCATACATTTCCAGTGCTAGCAGCCAAACACTTGTTTCAATATATTTTTGTCTTCAGTTTATATCACGTGTTCTTCAATTTAGCACTATGTGAAACAATTACAAGGTTGTTTTGTGATCTGATCTCAGCAGGGTAAGTTCCAGCCACTGAGTTCAAGGGAGGCAGAACTTTAAGCTGTAAATAGGAACATAATTGTTATATTTGCACTCTGAAACCCCTGACCTGTTGTGATGATTCTGTTGCTTTGCACGCAATGTGCTGAATATGAGACATTTGTACAAGAAAAACTGCTGCAGTTCCAGAAAGTAAACCTTTCTTATTCCAGTATGATTAGGGTGTATGTTTACTGACTTCACTGGCTTTGGGTCAGGCCTCTGATTAATTTATATGTGTTCACTAAGCCAATAAATTTGATATGCCAACTTTGAAGCCCCTAAATTTTGCTAATAATAACAATAGCAAAAATAAAATCAGGAACTAAGTAACTCTTGCTGGTTACGAGGATAATGTTCTGTAATATGTTTAATAATAGTATTTTAATAATATAAAGATGCACTTTTGATTTTCTTTAAAAGTCTAAAAGTAACTGCTTCTTCCTTTTTTAATTAAAAAATTTGCTGCACTTGTTCGCACTTCAGTGACTGAACTTAGTTTGCTTAAATTCTCAAGTATAAATGTAGATTATAAATGGGTTAGTTTTGGAACACTCTTCCCTAACTGGGAGGAAATAATGGCTGTGAGTGAAGTGTATGTCATGCAGAGTATCCTCTCAAGGAATTAACCTGCATCTCTTAGGTAACTTGCCTCTCTTGACTTTTTCAGGGTTCCTTTCAGGGTTCGCATTGTTTTTTGTCATCCAGAATAGGAATGTGCCTAGCATTTAGATATAGCTGTGCCCATAAAAAATATATATAAACAAATTGAAAACACAGTCTGTAGAATCTTTCATCTTCTCAAATGCAGAAAAAAGAGCAATATTTTATTCCAGATCAGCAAAACTTGAAGCAAAAGATCAATCTGTGACTTTCTTAGTTAAAAGTATATATAAAAATACACATACTCACAGATGTAGTGACATTGCAGCCTGTGTTTCTTCACTCTTGGTACTGAATTTCCAGTTTTGAACTGAGCTGGTACACAATCATAACTGCAGGAATTTTATTTACTTTTTGTATTTTTTGTTTGAATTATTTCCTTTCAAATCTGTATGTTTCTATCTTTATGTAGCGGTTCAAAGTGAAAGAAAGCCTTTTGATGTGCAACGTGAAAAACCAACCAACTGTGCAGCCTCTACTGAAAAAATCTATATAAGAAAAGATCTTCGAAGCCCTCTAATAGCAACTCCAACATTTGTGGCAGATAAAGATGGGACACGGTGAGTACCTCAGTTCCATGCATCTTCTTTCACGTTATTTGTGCATATTACTTTGCAGTCACATCTATATTCTTTCTCCCCTGTGCTCTCAGAGGGAACAGAAAAGAACTCTTAATGCACACATCATCTGTTTCCATTACTAAGGCCAATGTAGGTTCTGCTTCTCATGAAAGTTTTCATGTCTGCATACAGGTATGTGGTATTCACATGCCCTCTGAACAGAAAGAAGTTGTGAGAGAAGCAGAGAAGAAGGAAAACATAATTCTTATCTCTCTTGCTGTGCCTGTGTTATGCTAAGGTGGAATGCAGAATGGAGATTGTTTATCCAGAGTGAGGATGTTTTGTTCCCTTGCCCTATCAGGGCCAAGAAGTGTGCGTGTGTTGGACTGTCACCATACAGTCACGAGAGGGTTGAGGGATGAGTGCAGTTCTGTGCAATTGTGAGCAAGGGTGAGTGCAAGGCAGATTCAGTTTAGATGCAATATATATATAGTATAGCATAATAAAGTAATTATTTAGCCTTCTGATGAGGGAGTCAGATGCATCATTTTCTCTCCCCTTGGTCGGGGGTTGCCTGTGCTTTGATACAGGTATGTGGTTTTCAGTTCAGAGCTGGCTCTTGTCCAGGTCAGAGCAATGCAGAACAAGTGAATGATACTCAAGCAGAAAGCATGTAGGCTAATGCTCTGATATATTTGAGTTGGCACTTCCCTGAAATCACATCTGCAAATGGCACAATCAGGCTTCCTTCTCCTAAAGGCAATAGTTAGGGAGACTCAGTGGCTGCTGATTCACATCCCAAGAGACTCGTTTCAACAACAGCAAAACAGTAGCTTCCTTTTACTATAGGGAAGATACTCCAAGGTGGTTCCTGTACCCTGCCGCCACGGCAGTTCCTGCATTCTCAGATGTCTCCGTAGGCAATGGTTGTGAAAATGAAAATCATTACAAACAAAGGCAAGATTTCTTTTTTTTTTCTGAATAGACTAAAAAAAGTCTAGGTTAAATATGACATTTTAAAAACTATAGTTTACAAATGGTTGAGAACTACGTAAAAATTTTATTTTATTCTTCAGTTTTCATATGGGAGGAAGTGTGTGTGTTTAATTTTTCATATACATATTCCTTATTGAACAAATGACACTGCAGTTAGGAAGTTTGGGCTGCAGGTTTCTTGGAGAATTGTTTTTCAGTGTTCTTGTTTGAAAGAAGTACTCACAGAAAATTTGCTTCTTAAAAATTTCCTTGAGCTGCAGATCCATTACAGACCTATAAACACTACTATACTCAGTAAGAACCACTCTGTTATTTATGTGGGATTCAGATTTGCATAATACATGATAATTTGCTGCCTGTGCTTGTTCACAATGATAGCTGTTAGTGTCAGACCCCTTGCACTGTAATGTCCTGCAGCCTTGCACCTGTGTTGTGTGCATTGCTATCATGTTATGGACACTTGGAGCATCACCTAAGTAGCAAGTAAACTTCTTGCTGACTGCAAAGACTTTGCACTGTCTCCCTAAATTAGATACAGGAGAGGGGAAGGATGTTGGGTCAAAAAGCAGCAAAAGTCAAGGCAGCAGAAATTTTATGCAGGCTTTGATTACATGACTGTTTATGACTATATTTTGGAATGTAAAAAATATTTTTATGACTTTTATTCAGTGCTGGCCAGTGTCTTGCTTGGAATACAGAGCTATGCCTTCCTCCAAAGTCTAATATAAAAACTAGAGCTACTAGGTGACTTCTGAGAACATGAGACGACAACAGCTTTCCTTAAAGCAGACTAAACGAGAATAAAAAGCAAATGAGAAGATACGCATTTGGGATGTTGTCATTGTTTTGCACTGGAAATTATAAGATCTTTCAGTCTTTCTGTCTTTCAAGCTACTTTTTGGGAAATGTTTCAGAAAGACTTAAGTCCTGTTAAATTAACTGTAAGCTTCACTAAATTGTTTATTTAAAAACTGGTAATTCCTTTTATGCTCTTATAAGTTGTTACACATTCTTCTGATTAATGGAAAATACTACTGATCATCAGATGCCTTATGCTTTTGAACAGGTCAGCCGGTCTTCTTGATCCGGGAATGCTCGTGAATATTCAGCAGCCTTTGATCAGGGACGATGGTACAGTCCTCCTAACTGCTGATTCCAAGGTATTACTGCTCACTTCAGTTCTGAGATATCTACAAATTTGTTCAGGTTACTTTATCTATTGCACATAGTCTCAAATAGTTGTTGCTCGTCAGAAGATAAGTTTGTGATAAGTGTGAAGAACCACACGAATGGATGTAATAAATTGATCAATAGGATTGTGGTTTCTTTTGGCAAGTATATTTCTGCAAAAGGTGAGCCACAGGTAGTTCTCAATATGATGTCTCATCTGGGACTAGGATTGATAATTAGAATAGGATTTAAAGATAATTGACAGCCATTGTTCTTCCTGGCATTCAGGAAGAAGGAAAAGTTGCATAGGGGAAAAAGAACAAAAAGATTGAAAATGGGGGGGAAATTATATATGACATAGTAACTATAATTTGATTTACTAATACAGTGTTTCCTTTTTAGGCTGAAACAAGCCAGGGTGCCTTAGGAACACTGGCAAATGTTGTAACATCTCTCGCTAATCTCAGTGAGTCACTAAATAATGGAGATACTTCTGAAATTCAACAAGAAGAGCAATCTGCAAGTGAGATTACACGGTATGCATTTATATTTACACCTTATTTAGTAATTTGTGTTCTATGTGGTGTATCCTTGCACTCATTCACTAAAGGAATTTGGCATTATTACACCAGACACAGTATAGATTGCCAGATTGCCCCTACTTTGAAACAAAATGCCAGTTCTTTAGAAATCAGTTTTGGCTCTTGCCCTCTTTTGAAGAACTGTGTCCTGTGTTACAAATGTAGTGTTTTAAAGCTAGACCAGATTTGGTTCTCAAAAACATAATAAATGACTAGCTTTTGACCTTGAAAGACTCTGAGAATAGCAACATTTCAGTGACATTTTATTTCACAGGTGTGTTTTATGTAAGCTTCTCCTGTGCAATGCTTGTGCCCTAAGCCCTGCTTTTAGGAGTCTGCATTACTGCAGATTTATTTTTGAGATTGTGCTGCCATAATGGCATCTACATCTCATGGTAATGTAAATTTAGAAAGAGATTGAAATCTTTCTTTTCTTAATGAAAAATATATGAAAAAGGAGCATGGAATATTAAAATTTCCAGCACAACTTAAGATTTGCAAGGCTGGGATTTTTTTTTTGTTGGATGCTTTTGGTTGTGTTTTTTGTGGGAGGGAGGCAGGTTGGTTGAATTTAGCAGTATAGGTTAATAAGATAAAATACTCAGAACTCTCCACTGTTTCTCAAAAAGATGATTTTTAGGAGGAGCTTAACTGTCGTGGTTTAAGAATGGTATTCTCCAATTTAATGTTCACTCTTAAACTATGCTGCCACTCACTCCCCCCTCCCTCTCCAGTCAGAGGCACAAAAGGCAGAGGTCATAGGTTGAAATACGAGCAATTTACTGGAAACAGGAATGAGACTAGGAAACAAACAGTAACAGCAAAATGAAACAGTAACAGCAACAACATTAATAACAAAAGGTGTAAGAAAAATTATTTACACAGAACAGCCCCTGACAATAAAGAAAGTGACAGTCTGCCCACTACACCGACTGGAAAACACCTCTCTGGGGGGAGAGAGAGAGAGCGTGAGAGCGAGAAGGACATTAATTAATGTCCATCTGGGCTGGCTGCATTTAAAGGCAGTATAATGGGTAGTTACCCAGAGAACAGTATCTTGTTTTCCATCAATTAAGGCTGTTAAGTCTTTGAATTCTTCAAGTGGAGTGAATTAATATTTTAAAATACTTAACACTGCAATGTCAGCTTATGTCAGCCTCTTATTCCTTCTTTAAAGCAGAAAAAAATTCTATAAATATCTCTTCCCCAAAAAAATCTTGACAAAAAAATGGCAAAGAAGCACTATACCGTAATACTGTCCTCTGGTATGAAACTGGAATACAAAATTCTTCTTTACATTTAAGTTCTGTTAATCCAGAGAGAATTTACAGTGATCTGTTTGGGTAATGATCCAGTAACAGCTTGAATATAAAGAAGACCAGGGACCAGTCTCTCTTGTGTTACTGTCATAAGACTTTTAAGGCTCTATGTATATGTGGGAGATCAGGAGTGCCTGCCCATATTTCATCTTAACGGAAAGGAAATTCAGGCATATTATCTAGAAGAAAACCACACTGTTCTCCACTGTTCCAAAAAGCTGGAGATCAAGGATGGGGACAAGGACAGGGACTTTGTTGTTCAGAATACATCTGGTCTGTAACCCTCACCAAATCTGTAAGAAGGGGGACAGTGAATGCTAAGTGCAAGAGGACTGTTGAGATTTATGCCCAGAAGACAGCGAAGCCTCACACAGCTGCTCCCTCAGTCCAGTGGGACTGGTGATAGAATCAGAAGGGCAGAAGTGAGAAAACTCGTGGCTTGAGATAAAGACAGTTTAATATGTGAAGCAAAAGCCACACACACAAGAAAAGTAAAGGAATTCATTCACTGCCTTCCCTGGGCAGTCAGGTGTTCAGCCACCTCCAGGACAGCAGGGCTCCACCATGTGTAACAGTTACTTCCAAAGACAAATGCTATCACTCCAAAGATCCCCCCACTTCCTCTTTCTCCCCTCTTTATATGTGTGGCATCACAAAGTATGGAATAATCCTTGTATCGGCTGGGGTCAGCTGTCCTGCATGTGTCACCTCCAAACTTCTTATGCATGCCCACCTTCCTCACTGAAGGGAGGACAAGAAGCAGAAAAGGCCTTTACACTGTGCAAGCACTGCTGTGCATAACAAAAACATCTCTACATTATCAACATTGTTTTCAGTACAAATCCAAAATGTAGCCCCATACTAGCTTCTTTAAGTGAAGAAAATTAACTCTATCCCAGCTGCAACTAGCACAGCACAAGGCCCCTTTACTAGTTCAAATACTAGGATAAAACTATCAGCAGGATTTACAGTATGAACTCCTTCCCTTACAGGGAGATCTTTTACCAGTAATAGGTGGGCACATATATTTGTTTTACTAATGCCCAAAGAGGGACCAAATTGTCATGAAAAGTCTGACCTTGTGTCATCCTAAAGAGTTCTTGTGTATGTTGCCTCTAAGTGGAAATATTTCACAGCATTTAATTTGAGCACTATGAAATTTTTAACATCTAAGGAAGCACTCTTTGATTGCTTACTAATTTTTTATTTTTTAGGGCATTTGATACTTTGGCTAAGGCACTTAATACTACAGATGGTACAACAGCTCATAACTTGGCAGATGGGATGGATCCTACAGGAGGAGGGAATATTCATGTAATCAGTAGAGATCAGTCAACACCAATTATTGAAGTGGAAGGACCCCTACTTACAGATACACATGTCACATTTAAGGTATGTGCTTATTTAAATGTCTTATTAAAAAAACTAATGCTTAAGATGTATGAGCTCCTACATAACTTCTTGTCTTGTATTCCCAATTTGCATTCCTTGCCAGTAGTAATGAGTTGTTTAGTACAATTTTCCTTTGACAACTTCTTGTCGCACTGTTGATTGTGATGGACTATGAGAGTAGTTTGAATGTTTTTGCTAGTTATTTCACCGATGATAAAAACTGATTTGTGTCTGAACTATATGTGTTTTACTGTACTTTTATATTTTGCAGCTCACAATGCCCAGTCCGATGCCAGAGTACCTTAATGTACACTACATCTGTGAGTCAGCATCACGACTCCTTTTCCTCTCTATGCACTGGGCTAGGTCCATACCTGCATTTCAAGCTCTTGGGTAAATGGACATACTCCATTTGAATGGTTTGCTTTTGAATGAATTTAAGCACTGATCTGAACATTTCCCAGCTATTTTGAACTTTTCAGTTACAATATTGTTTAATTTTTAATTAATATTTTAAAATGTGTGAAGATTATGCAGTATTCCCTGTTTTGAAGAATAAAATAGAAGAGGCAGAGGGGAGGGTAACTGCAATATCCGATGTTACTGTGGTTACAGAAACTAAAGCCAAATCAAAAGCAAGCATTAATTTGTAGAAATTAAATGCTTGCTTTTGATACCTTGCTAAAGAATGGATAAGCACCATTTCACAGATAACCCGAAATGGTTTCCCATAGTCTGTAATTTCTGTTTCTTGAAATACTTGTAATATGCTAATATACGCCTGTTACCAAAAAGTTTTGCAATAGATTAATCCTTATTATGAATTGTTATGCATAACATAATTATACACAGGGCAATACCAAGCTGATATGCAAACTACCCAGCATTGTTTGATTTTCTGCTGTTTACAGGCAGGACTGTAATACGAGCCTCGTGCGTGCCTGCTGGAACGAACTGTTTACCTTGGGGCTGGCACAGTGTGCACAGGTGATGAATCTGTCGACTATCCTGGGAGCGATTGTCAACCACCTCCAGAACAGCATACAAGAAGGTATGTAACCAGTACTGCTAACAATACAGGGATGTTTGGATGACATTGCTCACAAGGTGTTTCCCCAGCAGTAGCAGAATTGTTTACCAGGAGCCAGGAGAAGGTGAAGCTTTCTCTTGCATAATTATTTTTCCCCTGGAGATCTACAGTTTTGTTGCACTCTCCTCACAGGGATGTCTGTGGGACAGAAGCGTCCGTAGAGGCAAGGGGGCCTTCTGTGCATGACTGATATTACCGAGAAAGACAGTACATCCTAAAATACTCCTTGGATGTGCTCAGAGAGTTTTCCTCCCATCCAGATGTATGTTTTTTCCTCTTAGAAAAATGAGATCCTCTTTGAAACCACACCAGACTTTTTCCTTCTAGAACTTTCCTTCTCCTCTTTGTGGTGTAGAAACACAGCATTTGCCAATTATCACAACAAGCATATTCTTGTATGTACAATGGTTTTGGATACTACTGTAATGCAATAATGATTAATGTATTTTGAAGTGCTCTTGAAGCATTAAGCAACCTAATTTCTTGACATTCTTAACAAGATGTATGTGATTTTATTTTTTAATTCAATGTTGGTCTGTTGATAATGATGATTATATCTAGAATGGATGAAAATATGTTATATTTGCTTTTTTTTTGTTCTTTAAAGACCCTTCCAATCAGAAGGATTGATTAGCATGAAAATAATATTCATTTTTAAGAGGAGGAAGAAAACAATACTAGCAGTTTTAAACTCTGCAAACACAGCATAAAAAATGAAAACTACTTTAAATTTACATGTCCATTAAAAGCAATTATAGAATACTATTTGGTACCAATGTTTTATGGTACCTTTTTTTAATAACTTTTTTTATAGTATCATTATTGTGCACACAGCAAAAATCAGAAAATAGGTTTTTACTGAGGAGAGTAAAACAGATGTATTTTTCTACAGCTGAAGGTTATTAAATATTTTTCCAGCTATCTTCTTTGTATATTTTATAGTTCTACAATCAAGTTTTAATCGACTTAATTAGCTTCATCATGATAAAGTAAATTAGACTGAAATTTGATTCTTTAATGGACAGTATGCTTTAATTGCTTTCATAATGAATATGGAGTTTTTTCTTATTTTGTTTGTTTTTTTTTTTTTTTTGGGGGGTTTTTTGGGGGTTTTTTTTTTTTGTTTTGGGTTTTTTTTGGGTTTTTTTTTTTGTTTTTGTTTGTTGGGTTTTTTTGTTTTGGTTTGTTTTCTCATTTTCTCAAGAGAGTATGGACAGTCCCAAAATACAACAGAGTGCTGCTCCTTTCCTGCACAGAGAGGCAAAAGTTGAAAAGATCAATAGGAAAACCTGCATATTGGATGTTGTATGCAAAGTTAGGCTTTATATCTATTTCAGAATGCAAAGAGCTGTCTATTCCACCTTTGTTCCAAGCAGCGGAGAGGAGTAAGTGGCAGGGCTATTGCAGCTGGTTCCACTTCTGTTCTTATGCATCAATATTGTAAAAAAATTTTTTTTCTGTAACCTGTACTTGCACTCATACTGCATTAGCTGAGACCAGCCAATAAAAGAGGATCATTAGTGTTATTTATCTATTCTGCAAAGTTATCATGTTATATTGTGTATTATACCTTCAAAATTCAAAACAAAGTGAAGAAATTTCAGAACTTCATTTATTTATTAGTGATGAAGTTACTTAGAGACTCTGGAATTCTAGTTTGCTTTTCCTGAGTTTTTCTGGACCATATTTTCCCACTTAATACAGGAATAAAAACATTACATTATGTCTATCTTCATCCATCTTCAGTAACTAAAAAATTTGTATCACAATTAATGATTTAAGAAATGTAGATTATGCTTTCATTCTTATTTCAAGACTGTGCAAAAAATGGCTCTTACATTAATTCAATCTTCTTATTGCAGTTTCAGAAAATAGATCAAATAGTAATAAACTATGTCAAAGATTTTGTTTAAGCCACATGGGGTCTAAGCAATCCTATGCACTATTAGCTGTATAGAGAAAAATAAAATATTCAAATTAACATTATATTAAATACTAGCATTGGAGATTATGACTGGAATAAAATTCTAATGTGTTTTTAAAGGAAAGGTTTTATCCCTTGTAAAATGATTTACTTCTGAAGTTTGATAATAGTAATTATATATTCAAAAGTTTGTCTTCAGGTATTATCTAATGTTTTTATTCCTTGACTAGTTTGTAGATATGCAGTCCAATACAAGGCTTTCTATTTACCAAAACAGAAATATCTCCCTTCCTAGTTTAGCAGCTAATACCACTCACTTGTAACAGATCTATAAATAAAATAAATTTTTAAATTGAAATTTTAAGATAGATTACGAACCCAATATAAGGAATGCGATCTTTCAAATGATAGAAGAATCTGTGGATGTGTATTTCAGTGAATTTACCCTATCAGACAGGAAAAAGACTATTTACCATAGCTAATGAAAAGTTCACTCCTAAAAGTGCAGACAGAGGAGAAAGTAGCACTGTCATTTTTGTTCTTGCATTCACTTTTGGAAAGGCTTATTCAATAATGTTTGAATTTAAAATTAGGGTTGCGTGTTAGCACTTCCTTTGTGCTTCTGTTCATTCCCAGAATCACTCTAGCCATTTGTAGAATAATGCACTGTAATTTCAGAATCTCTGCTCAGAACAGTGTATCACTGGAAAAAGTTTGGTGTGGCAGATTATGCTATCCTGGCAACAGGATAACATTCTGCTCTTAGAATGTTCTTAACATTCCGTTTGCTAGCTCTGGGTCTGACTGAACTTTATAAATTCACTTTGCTTTCATAACAATTCAGACCATCCTTACATGTTAAGTGGTTCTAAGACAGCAAAAGACTTGCAAATATCACCTGACTTGGTTTATAAAACTTTATTTGTTAATATATTAGAAATGCTTGAGCTCAGATGAAATAGTAAGCAATATCTTTTTGTAGATAAACTTTCTGGCGACAGAATAAAGCAAGTCATGGAACACATCTGGAAACTTCAGGAGTTCTGTAACAGCATGGCCAAGCTTGATATTGATGGATATGAATATGCATACCTTAAAGCTATAGTCCTTTTTAGCCCTGGTAAGGAATTTAGTAACCATATCTTTTTAAATAATAAGCCTTAATATGTCAATTCTTTAGCATTTTTTAAATTAGACTAATATCTTGAGATGAGACTCATCTGTTCAGTTGCAGATAAAATTATTGTTTCATAATGATTATCACAATATGTGTTTTAAAATAACTTCAGAGCAACATATCCATGTTATCTACAGTTCCAATCTATCAGGTGTTTCCTGTACATCCATCCTAGAAGATTAGATTCTCAAGTTACCTTCAGCTGAGAATCTATGAGTAATAAAGTATCTGGAATGCGTACTAGCAATATTAGTGAGGTAAGTGGTGAGGAGGAGTAGAAGAAATGCATTCTCTGAGTGACAAAAAGAAATTTGTTTCAATTTTAGTATTTTTAATACACTTTTAAGAGGAATAGCTGAAATATGAGCAGAAATACCTATTTTATATGAAACTTCCTCAAAATCTCAAAAACTGAGTGTAAACAGGCTGTCTTCCATTTGTTTTGAAAAAATGACAGCAGATAGCTAAAGTACAGTCAAGTGTTTCTGAAATACGGAAATTTACTCAAAGAAGACACTTGAAATTTTCTGGAATGATTAGGTAAGGACATTAAAGAAACTGGAAGTAGTAGTATTTTTGGCAAAAATGGCAGAATTTTCTAGGACACACAAAGGTTAATCTACAACTGCTGACAGGCTGAGTAAAAGGGAAAGTTTTGCTCTGAAATGCATATTATTTATTTTATTTCAAAGGTATTTACCACTTTGTATTTAATAGAATACAAAGTAAAAGGATATATTGTTATTGGTGTGTTTGCTTGGGGTTTTTTTTTGCATTGATAACTATTTTTCTCTTTGTAATAAAACTTAATTAGAAGATTCTGGTGTCCTGAAATATTCTTTTGAATTTTTCTGGGGAGATTGTCCCATTAGAGTTAAGTTTATTAGGGGTTTTATTTGAGTTGGAAAAGCAAGAAAGTTGGAAAAAAAAAGTTGGAAAAGCAACTACCCAAACTCAAGGTAGCTCTTTCCTATTTCAAGGGAAAAGCAGTTTGGACACAAGAGTGAAGATATTTTGGCATACAATGAGAGGTGATATTTTGTGGGTTTGCTTTTTTTTTGCTCTGATCATGTGGCTGTGTGAGGAGCTGAGGCAGCTGGAATTAAAACATGAGACAGACTTGAAAGATTAAGACATTGATCTGTCCTTAGATACTGCTTAGCCAGCCTAGTTAGAACAAATCACAGAGGCGAACATGTTTACATTGAAACAGGCAAAGTTAAAAACAAATTCTGTGTCATTGCCTGGTACACACGTACAGGCTTAATCTTAGTCCACTTTCTTATGGACACACACAGCTCTAGAGAGAAAAGGGAACAAGCTAATTCTGAAGCCAGGAAGTAAATGCTTACCTTTATACAGCTAGCATGTTAAACATCACAATAACAGAGAAATGTTTCATTGAAATTAAATATTAGAGTCTTATAAATACATTTATTTCACAATGTATAGGGAAACAATCGACATACAGAAATGTTTTGTTTCTTTAGATCACCCTGGTCTGACCAGTTCAACCCAAATAGAAAAATTCCAGGAGAAGGCACAGATGGAATTGCAGGACTATGTACAAAAAACCTATCCAGAAGATACTTATAGGTATTTATTGTCTGAAGTACCCAAAGTAATGTTGTGGGCTGTAGCTAACAGAAGTACAAAATAATGTAATTGATGTTTTTGACATCTGGGGTTTGGGGTTTTTTCTGACTGTGGATGAGAAAGAACTAAAACCTAATTCATAAAAGCAAGCAGGTTTGTTTAAAAATATGTAGAAACAAGAATAGCTGTCTAGCTTCCTCCATGTAAATTAAATTTATTAGTACTTTCTTGGTTTTTGAGGGGTTTTTTTGAGACTCTCATGGTCAGGTATAGAAAAGTAAACAGACTTATTTATTTTTTTAGAGGTTCGGGGGACAACTGCTTCAACTGACTAATTCACACTGCTTCTTTTTTCAAGTTATTATTTTAAAGTCTCTCTGACAACTGAAAGATGATTATCATCCTTGAAATGTTTTTCAAGTTGCATATGCAGAAAAATGTTAGAACTGTCAGTTATAGCCCTTGGAAAAACAACGATTACATATAACAAGGAACAATAACCACTGCTCAAACTTCTGTTAGTGAGAAATTCCCACATGCTACTTATTTTCTCCTCTGGGTTTGTTTGGTTTGGTTTTTTTAATTTCTAAGGACTTCTCTGAAATTATCTAGCTTGCCTTTTTTTCTCTTCTCAACTATTCTGTTTGTTATGTGCTAGAAACAATTACCGTATTTTCTAACAATGTCTGTTAAAATGTAAAATTCCTCAACACAATGATTCTCTGCACTATCAGGGAACTTCTTACCTCTGTCTGCAAGATATACTAGAACCTGTTCTTTTTTACTGTGAAAGGCATCCTTATGTAAAGAAGAAATCCCAAACACTTAAGCACTATCTGAGGGTGGAATAACTAAAAAGGAGAAAAAAACTGTCTGAAAAAGAGAGTTTCTCCCATCTCTGTTTTCTGCACTGATCTTACAGAATTAACACTGTGGTGCGATGAAAATAGGATTCTCCACCTCAGAAATATCCTCAAATCCCACATTCTTCCATGTACAATTGAGGCCTTCTGGTTTGATTAGTGAGAGCTGAATATCTACCATAAAACTAAATATAAAATTTGTTCCATACACTTACTTCTCATAATAGTGTCTCAGAGAAGAAAATCAGAGTTGCATTCCCCAAGCAGTGTCTTGTATTTTAAGTAATAGTGTCTCCATCTCCATGCTCACCCATAGACAAGTTTACAGAACAAATCTGATTATTTCTGAGCAACTGAGATGAGGGACAAGTGTTATAATTTTCATAAAAACAACAGCATAGTTTTAATCTTTTTGCCCTGAATTTTACAAGGTAGGGTATATTAGCAGAATGGACCATAGATGTTTTCCCCATAAATATTCAAGCATTTTCCAGAGCAGCTGTGGTCAGTGCTACCTGAGGTGTATCTTATTACAAGGTTGTGGTTCAGAAAATTTATTTGGTTTAGCATTTGTGATGCACATCTGCCACATGAATGGCAGCAAAATGCTTTCATCACTGTCTTAAATTTCATATTAATGGGAAGTCTAGCATTTCAATACAGTCACTTCATTGTACTGGATATCTGTTAACATCCTAGTAAATAAAACACCAGGGCAATTTGGGAATATTTATGCTTAACAGTACATTCCCCCAAGTTCCTTCTCTCATTAGAAGCAGATTCTCTTTTTTCTGTTTCTACACATCCAGCCCCCTTCCTGCTATCTCATTTGGCATGAAGTTGCTAGGCAACTGAGGACTATGCTGTTTATGGCTGAAATTTTAATTAAGCATTGTACTCTTAAAAAGGTGCAAATGTTCACACTAATCAACATGAATATTATTAGTCCCAGCATTGTTTATCCAGAGCTGGGAATTTCAAAAGCAGGCCAAGAAAACTGTGTGCTTGTACATACATGTTCTGTCTACAAAGGGCATTAACGTGTCCCTTTCATTGGAAAACTACAAAGCTACTTGGCTTTCGTTTTGCTTGCAGGATAGAACAGCAACAATTCTTTTTGTCATGTAGCCAAATTAGCTTTAATTGCCTCTTTATGCCTATTCATGAATTATGGTAATAATAAAGGCAGATCCAGCTCTTTAGCCATAGAGTATTTAAACTGGTCTTGCATGTATTTATAATCCACTGAACTTCTTTTTCAGGCTAGCCCGGATCCTAGTTCGCCTGCCAGCACTTAGGCTGATGAGCTCTAGCATCACCGAGGAACTGTTTTTCACAGGTCTCATTGGAAATGTTCCCATTGACAGCATAATCCCCTACATTCTCAAAATGGAAACAGCAGAATATAATGGTCAAATAACTGGCATGTCTGCATAGAGGGAACCACGTCATTTGAGGGACTGAAGTAATTTTCACAAAAACCATATAATTACGAAGTTAAAAGAGTAGTGTTTTGGTATGTGCAGATATTTCCAACTTGTTATCAGTTTCCTGACAGATTTCTCCTTGTTGTTTTCTGATGTTGACAAAATTTAAAGCAGCTATTAAAACACCTACTATAGGACCTTTCCTGCCACAAGGAATATTTTTGATGCCTTTCATTTAAAAGGCCATAGATTACTGAACATACTTTTCACATGCTTTGTATTTAGAAACTATCAGTGGTAAAAAGAGTTTTATAATATCAGAGTAGTAATAAAATTACTTTAAAAGTAAAAAGAACAGTATGTATATATTTAAAAATATCCTTGGAATGAATGTCTAGCAAATGCCAGGGTATAATACTAGCACTTTGTAATCACTTCTTGTCAGAGCAACAGCATCATCAACATCCTGCTTATGAGTATGGAAAATGAAAAAAATGCATATGTCCTTAGTCAAAATGCTAGTGATTTTTGTAAAAATGTAGAATGATAAAGAAGACAATCATTTAATCTACAAAAAGTCACTTGCTGTTATGTTATGCATGAAATATTAATGTGGATCCTTAAATCAGATATCCACATTATATGAAACTATATCTGTTAAATTAGTGCAGTTGTAATACATGGTACAGTGCAGTCATAGTGACTATTATGTGCTACAGGAATTCCCCACGCTAGAGAAAAAGTGTTTGTCACAATAATGATTAAATATGCAGGTTCCTTAAAGTGTTTATTCAGACAAACACAATCATGCCAAATGTTCTTCCAATAAGCAGCCTTTCGACTTTGGGGAAAAGCAGTCATTAACTGGAAGAGCAGTAATTTTCAAATAGAGCTGTGTGATGCTCTTTGAGTGTGCTCTTTGTATGCTCCTCTCTGTACTTTGAACACCCTCATAATGTAGCCACAGGGTACAATTTAAGACCTGAAATGTGCAGAACCTCTGGTCGTCAGCATGAGTTTATTACAAAGCTCTCTCACTTTATTTCTCGCTCCCTCCCAGTTTTGCAGTGTTCTCAACTTTCCTGTCACTCAGTATGAAACTAAAATATAGTTAGGATTTACTCTCACTCATGTACAATTGCTGTTGATGATTGATGCACCATGGAAGTATAAAATGAACTATTTTTGAATTGTCTCGAGTGATGAGCCATCAACATGTTTGCTAGTAGTAGTAGCCATTAGTACATTAGATGCATTAATTATTTTAATTATTTGTGTGTTAGAGGCATTCGTACATTAGTAGATTTATGTGACAAAACTTATCAAATGGTAAGTTCAGCAATTTGGTTTTTCTTCTGTTACTGATATTTATTTAGAAACATCAACTAGGTTGGTGTTCGTGACTTTTCAGAGTCTGAATTGTAGCCAGAAGACCTTAAGCAGCTTTAGATGAGGCTTCTAAAGTAACAAAAAGAGCTTGCATACTTCATGCTTGTTAGGAGGCTGACATTTGTAGCACTTACTGTGACACAAAAGACTATTTAATTTTAGCTTCTAGATGCATTAAAGTCTTCTACAGTTACTATTTTTAGCATATTCAGTATCTTTTTTTCTCAGAAGGGTATTGCAGAGTCCAGTATCCATGCTGAGATTGTAATACTGCACTTGTATCTCTCTCAGCTTTTGCTATAGCAAATGAAATTGTCGTATTTTTCTTGCTATGGAAAGTCTGCTCTCTACATGTGAAGTCAGCTGGACTTCAGGTTTAGTACCAACCACCTGACTGTAGTCTAACTGCTGCAGGATTGTGTCAGCACTTCTGCTGCACAGCCCTTACGTTTAGGGTACACAACTTAAAAATTAATGGTGATTAATCAGAAACAGTAGCTACCTTGGAAGGAGTAGTGGCTGCTTTTGTTAAAATTTAAAATTTTACTGGGTTACGTCATTGTTCTACAAGAAGAATGCATTTAACTATTTGATTATTTTTATTGCCAAAAGGATTGCAGAACTTAATTTGCTTTCAGAATTTCATAAGAATAATTTAGGCAGATAAGAAAGCATTTTAATGGTAAATGAAATAGTCCTTAGCACAAAAACTAGCCATTGGAATATTTGGTTTTAAATCTCAATACACACCAGCTAGCTTTTTCTTGACAAACATAATTTCAACTTCCAATTTTTCAAGTAAAAGTGCCCCATTTTCTGTGTGAAAATTTGTCATTTTTATTACTTGTGATCATAACAATTCAGGAAAGGGGCATTATAGTTTTTTGGGAACATAGCAATCACGTGAAATGAAATGTAAAATGTGTGCCTTGCATTACACACGTAAATCGAAACAATAAATATCATGCAGCTCTGTTTACAAGTAAACCACACTCCCCACAAATGCAAGGCCACATAATGATATCCTTGCTCAAGCCCTGCTAGTTACTTACTCTGCAAATAGTTATTAAATAGCTTATTAGGGATAAAATATTAATTTTTGTAAACTGAGTAATAACCATGCCATCCATAGTTGTGCATGCATTTAGCAGATGAAATGAACCAGTTCCACCCTTAAGATTTGGATATTTTCACCTAAAAGCTATAAAGTCCCTCTCTGTGTAGCGCCATTAGCATGATTTGCTGACTTGCAGAGGTCAGAACCAAGCTACTTAGTTCTGATGCCATTAACAAGAAATACTCTTTCCAACTATACACTACTTTGATTCCAAGACTAACATTTTGGATTGTAGAAATTTGAACATATGTGGGTGCCTGGGCTGTTTCCTACCCGGGAAAAGGACTCTGTGCTTCCCCTCTTTGAACTTCACATGGTTCCTGCTGGCCCGTTTCTCCCCTGTACCGATCCCTTTCAGTGGCAGTAGGAGCCTGTGATGCACAAGCTTTGCACCGTCTCTGCAGAAAATACTGCAACACTGACATAGTTCTTGGAATTTCTGAGGTTTGTTCCATCCCTCCTTGCAGTGACTGGAAGATGGCACCAGGCTAATCTTAGTAGCTTTACTGTTAAATTAGTTTTGGAGGTTTTTTTATCCTTTGAAAGTGCAAACTTTTCCTTATGAATATGGGAGAGTTTTTTAATGCTGTAACAATTATGGAAGAACTATTTCTTGAGTATTAAATACAGAAATAACTTGTTTTCATAAAGGTGAAATTTAAATGCCAAATTTGTTTTTTCACCATAACTTGGAGTCAAATTATCACAGTCACAAAGTGATTCCAGGAAGAAGCTCTACTTTGTGCCAATATTTATTCTCTTCAGAACTTCTGTGGTTCTATTTTTGCTGCTCTTGAAACGAAAATATTTTAACTTGACAGACATACAGTAATAAATTATCTGATTTGATTTATCTAAACCTGAGCAAATGTGTATACTAGTCACAATTCCATCAGACAAATGTTAGAATTCTGTGCTGACTGAGACTGGGGCATGATAATGAGGCAGCGTAGGGAATAATAATGAGGCAGTAATGTCCACTGTGCTTCATTTATTTTCCAACTCTTTTGCAAAGGAACTGGATTTGAATCTTGTAGATAAAAAGCACTTGGGACTAGCTTTGTCCCATATGATTTTAATTGCATTTGTGACAAATGTAGGTATACTCTTTTCTTCCTTTTATTTACTTACATGGGACTGTAGAGTCAGAACTAGTATCATGTGCAAAAGTAATCTTTCTCAGCCTATTTACATTGCTTATGAATTGGCTGCAATGCTTTGGTGTCTGTGAAGTTACTCTGGCATGAAACTGGTAGAAGAAAAAATTATCTCAAGGGAGAGATCCTTCTAAGAAGTCATACAAGGCTTTCTTTTAGCTGCCTTAAAATGTTAGATCATTAAGAAGGCTTAGTTTTCAGAGCACACTGTGGCAAGAAACTACGGTTGCTCTCCACTGCTTAGTTGGCGTCACTGGCCAAGTCTCCTTTCACCATCTTCTGAAGCCCATGGCCCCCCAGACAGCCACGACGCCTCTGGTGAGGAGCTCTGGTTCCAGATCTGTGTGCAGAACCCAGCAGCTCTGCATCACCATTACAGTTCCCTTTGGCAAAGGGCACATTCTGAGGCTGCCATAGAGAAGCCAAGTCAGGGCTGAAGCTGACTGAAGTAGGTGAAATCAGTTTCCTGACTCTTTTTTCTCCTTTGGCAGAGACCGTAAAAGACTTGCGTGTTTTTTTTTATTGTTCTGTATAGTACACAGGACTCATTCCTGAATTAATTACTTCATTCAGGATACTGCAGGTGTCAGTAGATTTTTCTGCCCATTAAAGTTCAGACAGTAGTTAGGATTCTTTCCTGATTACCTGCTGTTTAATTAGTAAAAGACAGTTTTAAAAAAATAGAACCAAATAGCATGACTAGCAAAGGGTTTCAGGAATATAGATTAACCAGGAAGACAGAACTGGAAATGAATGGGCTGAGGGTACTGCTCAATCAGTGATAAAGCAGCTTCCTGCACTAACAGCACCAGTCAGGGCCCTGTTTGAATCAGGAGAAGTGAGCAGTAGAACTGGCAGGTCAGTCAGACACACAGGTGTACCAGCACATACCTACTGGATGATACTATCCTGGAAAGAACAAAAATGTTCATTTTCTATTTGAGGTCCCTCTCTTCCTCCCCAGTTACTCTTAATAGTGCAAAACCAGGGCATGTTGGGGTTTTTTTTCACCTACTCTTGTCCATAAAAGGAAAAGCATAAATGCCAGAAAACACAGGCAGATTCCCACCTGTTCCCACGGTTTGCCACATTGGCCACACAGCAACAGAAGAGCTTTTGCAGTAGTTGGCTTTGGTGATAAGCATGGGCCAGCTGACAACAGCACACAACAGTGTGCAGTCCGAACACCTCCAAACATCCAGGAGGGATCAGCCAAATGAGGCATGGTCACCCTAGAGAGGAAGGCGAGGGGTAGAGGAGGGACAAATTGCCAGCATTTACTGGATCTTGAATGACAGGAACTTAGTTTAGAAACATCCTTACATGAAAAATTACCAAGAGGGGATGGCAAAGGAGAGAAAATGAAAGCATTTGCTTTTTGCACCTTTTAATTCTAAAGTTGCTGAGTCATTTTAACAGTAAATACTCCTGAATTAAGTTCAGGCTTATTGTTTGATGCCATTAGCCCTTCTTGTTAGATAATGCTACAACCCTACTTCAGCTGCAATCAGTGTTATCAACATATGGGAAATTATGTGTGAAAAAAAAAAAAAATTAGAAGGTCTGGGGTGACAAGTTAAATTAAAATTCTTTGTAAAGTTTAGATGTTTTTTATTGTGAAGTCAAGCTAAGTTCATCACAGGTAATACTGTTGTAATGTTCCATTAATGCCCACAATCTGTTCAATCCTGAGTTACGTGAATGCTTTGAAAATGGCTTATTATTGTTAAATTCCTGCCTTTCTTTTTAAGGGGTTTGATAGAGTTATACACGTCTGTCCTGTGCCTCCCACCATTGTGCATTTCTGCATGTTCAGTTCTAGAACTCACTCGAGCAGCTGATGCATATGTACATAGCTGTATGTATGTGTGTATGAATGTATATGTTTATACCTCTCTGTCTAAATATATTCTGTACAGTGTATAGGAAATGTGTAGTGTATGTATATATGTACAGATATGGAGACATTATTCATCTATTCTATGTGCTAAAGTTTTTTATTCATTTGCTAATCAAGAGCTTCCTAATTTGGTGAATCCTCACAAATTTCAGAGCTTTGCACCTTTTTTGTAAACCAGTCTGAATCCACTATTTGCTGTTCAGAACTGACAAATATATTCTATGAATTTTCTGGCTTTGATATTATTCTCTTTACTTTTTCTCATTTGACCTATAGAGGTCTGCTAGTCAATAGTCAATTGAGCATATAATGCCTTTTAAAAATAATGAATAAATAACTATAGTCATAGAAAATGCTTCCCTGCTCATTATATACTCATTCTTTTCCAGCCCTCCTGAGATATTTTTGTAAAGTTGTATTTTTTGTGAAGCTTGGTAAGAGGCTGATTTTTTGGTTTTAAGTCTTCATCTATGGCTAACTGAAAGTAAACCAAGTTGCCATTTATCACTGAACTGCAGCACACAGAACAGGAGGTAACAGATGCTGTTTAATAAATCAATAGTCATATTGTCATAGCAATCTCATTAAATCAACCTGTGAGTTAGAGACTGTGTGCTCTGGTCAGTGAAACAGCAGCTCTGGTATAATGGTAATTAAATAGTAGGGACATTGCAGGTAGTTTATTTCTTAGCAAGCATCAAGACATCTTCAGGATTTTCACAATGCATTTCAATTGTATACTCACTTTCCAAAGTTTTTATTTTTATTTTCCAACCTAAACTGAACACAGCTAGTTTCTTAATTTAGTTGTCAGACTAATGTCGGTTTCCACAATCTGTCCTCTCCTGGGTCTGCAATCTGTGCAGCTCCTGCACGGCCTGTGACAGTCCCACTGTCCACGTGGGACCTGCGCACACAGCTGGGAAATGAGATGTGGAGAAAGACAATTTCTTACTCATAATGAGGACTCAAGCTTTTACATTATCAAAGCTTGTTCTTCTTCCTTTTAGATGAAGTTAAAAAGGAAGCCTTCCATAAAGTAAATCTGTTTGTTAACTGTGGGTTTTTAAAAAACCATTTCACAGACCATGCAGGGCAGTAGTTCAGCAAGTCTTGTTTCTGTCATTAAAAAGGTGAAATAGAATTTTCTGGGCATTTATTTCCACCTTTTGTGCTCACTGTGACAAAGACTTGTGTATGCCTAATCCAATAATAAGACACTAATCAAAATAGCATGAACTTTGTGCATGCTTAAAGAGAACCACAAGTCTGAGGAAAGTTTGCTATGGAAAATGCTGAGAATGCTGTCTTTCTTAGTGTATTGGTTAGTGAGCATTTGTAAGCTTTTATTTCAAATATAGGAATAAACCTGTAGCATTTCAAAACCTTATTTCTGTGATTTTCAGCAGGAAAAATATGTAAATTAATGTCAGGAATTTCTGTGACAGATGTTCCTTCAATGGTGTCTGGACAATTTGGTGGTGTTGGAACGCTTGCTTTCCTCTTTAAAGGTGAATAGAAACCTGAAAGTCTGTTAAAGTCACTGTACTGCAGGAATAATTTTAAAGTTTAGGATGCCAATTGGGGCACTAATGCAAGATTGAATCTGTTTAAAAACTCAACTGTGAATTCAGGAAAAAAAAAATGCAAAGTTCAGTGAACCAAATTCCACATTTGAATTGTTTGTATTCTGAAGGACAAAATGTGCTCAAATTTAGTGGCAATAAGGGCTCTGCAATAATACAACACAGGTCCATTTTACGGTATTTTCATGACTGTGGGTTAAAGTAGGACTGAATAAACTTAAAACAAAAAGCACAGTCTTTAAGAAGAAAACATTTTACTTACAGCCGGTATATGTTAAATTTTCTGTATATGGAATCAAGATCAGATGTTGGACTATTTTTTGTAATTAATCTGTACTCTGAAATACACTGGAAGGCAGTGTTCATAATTTCCTAACTGAAAAGTGCACAGTTGTATCTGTATTGGCATACTAGGGAGTGCTGAGCTCCTAAAAATCAGCAAATTTTTAAAAAAGGAAGCATCTACTTTCAGTTCCTTGGGATATTTTCTGGAAGTCTCTATTCCTTATAATTTAGAAAACTATTGTTTATTTTAAAAACTGCAAAAGTTTCTAATTTCTCACAGCTTCTTTTGTGAAATCAGTATTGTTGTGTGTGATAGCATTTAAAAACAATAGCATGTTCTTTTTTTAAACTAAATTTTATATCCAAACAATGTTTTCAGTCACAAAGAGGAATTTGCATTGTCATGTTTGTATATAGAGTATTGCAGTGCATGATTTAGCTTATGCATTTTATTAAATGCTGTTGTGACATTATATTGTTGCAGTTAATACTAGTAGCTAAATGAGGTTTCTACCATTAAAGTGAATTACAAATGTAATTGCATTCTTGAGTTTTATTTTGAAGTTCATTTAAGTTCCTCTTGAACAGGAGCTAAGCCAAAGACATAATTTACTATCTTTTAGGGAGAAACATCATTTTGCCTTCAGCACAGTGATTATCTTAGAGAGATTTAACCGGGTCTGGTATGGAAAAGAAATTCCATTACCTTCCTGACTCCAAGGAGCTTCTCTAGGAGGAGACAGGGCTGTTCCTACGTTTTTAATTCGTCGTGAACAGATGTCGCCGCTGTGCGCGGGGCCCCTCAGGGCCCCTCAGGACCCTCAGTGCCCCTCAGACACCCTCAGGGCCCTCACGGCCCCTCAGTGCCCCTCAGACACCCTCAGGGCCCTCACGGCCCCTCAGTGCCCCTCAGACACCCTCAGGGCCCTCACGCGGCCGGGCCCGCGCACAGCGCGCGCCCCGCGCGGGCACTGCCGGGAACGGGATCGGCGGAGCCTCCGCCAGGGGGCGCGCGGAGCGCTGCCTCCCCTTCCGGCCGCCGCCGCGATGCCGATGAAGGGCCGCTTCCCGGTGCGCCGGACCCTGCAGTACCTCAGCCAGGGCGACATCGTGTTCAAGAGCTCGGTGAAGGTGATGACCGTGAACTACAACACGGCGGGAGAGCTGAGCGAAGGCGCAAGGTGAGCGCGGGGCGCGGCGGGAGCGCGGGCTGCCCCTGCAAACACACCAGGGCTTGCGCGGGCCGCGCCCTCCGCACCGACAACGGGCCAGCCCTTGTGTGCTTTTCTCTTTCTTTCCAGAAAGTTCGTGTTTTTCAACATCCCCCAGATCCAGTACAAGAACCCCTGGGTGCAGATCATGCTGCTCAGGAACATGACTCCCTCGCCCTTCCTCCGGTTCTACCTGGGTAGGTCCCGCTGGAGCCGCAGCGCCCCTACGGCCCTCCGTGTGGTGCTCGCTCGGCCCTGCCTCGGCGGCCGCGGGGACAGAGCCGCTTGGAACAGAGCTTTGGCCGTTAGCAGCTCCCCTACACTCATCCTCACAGAGATTTTGCTTTTCCACTAAAAATACTGCATTACACATTAACCGCAGAAGGGAAGGAGATCCTTCATTTCTGTGCGTTTAAAGCCTCTCCAAACAGCATGCAGGAGGAAGTGGTATCCTTTGATACACTATTATGAATTTTTCTTGACAGACAGTGGAGAACAAGTTTTGGTTGATGTGGAAGATAAAACCAACAAAGAGATAACAGAGCATGTCAAAAAAATCCTGGGGAAAACCAAGTAAGTAGCACGCAGTAAGCAGATACCATCTAGCATATATATTATAAAGTTTTGTGGAATACAGAAGGAAATACCAATTTCCTGGATAAAAGTGACGCAAGCAAGGTAAGAACTGTAAACCCATCTTTCTGATAACTTGGGTCCAGGGAAGGGAGAGGAAGTATTGCAAGTCAGACTTCTGATAGTAACAAACAGATCTCTTTTCTAGAGAAATGCTTGAAAAAGAAGAAGGAGAAAGGAAAAAACTATCACATCCAGCAACCTTTGGGCCCAAGAAGTATCATCTGCGAGAATGCATGTGTGAGATTGAAGGCCAAGTTCCCTGCCCTGCTTTTGTACCATTGCCCAAAGAGATGAGAGGAAAATACAAAGCTGCTATGAAAAATGAGGCAGGAGCCTGATATTTCAACATCTCAAGTCATGCAGCTGTTTTTCCTCAGGGCTGGACAATGAAGGTGCTTCAGTGAGAGAAGAGCCAACAGTTCCTGGGAACAGGAACAAGCAAGTTCATTCAATACAGACAACTCTGCCTCATAAGCCTTCTTATATCTACAACTAGAATAAAGTGGAAAATAAATAAAAGTTAAAACTGGCACAAAAAAAGCTGTGGTTCTACAAAGTATTGCAAGTCAACACTGGAAAACAAAATTAATATTATTTCTTATTCATGCCTGCAGGTAACCAATTATGGAAAAACCAGTATCATGTTTTCTTTGGGATAGAGGCTAGACTAAAAAATTAAATCTAGAAGTAGAGCAGAATTCCGTAATTTGTAGAAAGTGGTGCAAAAGTCCGTATTATACCAACTGAAGACAGCCAAATGATAATATAACTCCAGTCTCAACTGAATTGTCCTCATTTATGTAGTTACGAATTAGAAACAGTTCAGAGTCTCATTTCCAGCAAGATACAATTTTTGCAGTTGATATAGCAGCTCAGAAGCACTGATCCAGTCAGGAACATCAGCAGGAAAGAAGAATGGTATACGAAAGGTAAGTTTTACAATTATCAAAAAAACCCCTTCTGAATCACCACCGTTTCTGCCTCACCAAACAATTACACCGTCCCTGTAATATGGATAAACGTGATACATTGTACTCTACTGTACAGACCTTTATGTCAGGCTTATCAAGTCACTGTAGAACTGTATTGCAGCATTTCTGAATTCACAGCTGAATACAAAATT